CTTTCCTCATTACACTGCAGAAATCTTACTAAGTGCATTATTGGTGGAGTCAAGTCAAGTTAAAATGCCAATTTTATGTCTTTATTATAGAAATAGAAAATCGTTAAGTCCTCCTGTGAGTTTCAGCAGTCAAAGCAAATAGAGAGAGGACCTCTCAGTGTTTGGAGAAGGATGCCACTGAAGTTAGCAGCGTGACAAGCTGTTGAGATTGGAACTGGTAAATGTGCAATATAAGAAATAGGAAAAGGAAATATTTAGAATCAAGAGATGCCAAAACTGCAATCAGCAAATGGAAGGCTAAAACTGATGAGCAAATCTGGATGCTTTTTTTATTATTTATTTTTATTGTTTAAGCTGTGCCATATAACCATCTTGTTACAAGGAACAATCAATAACAGCTCCTAACCACCTCACTGCAGTGTCTACACACCTCCACCCACGTCCCTTGCGACATGGACTCTGTTGAAGAGACGTGTACAACGCTGCTGAGCAGAAGAGGTGCTGTCCCACTCCTGCGGTGGATGGGCAGTGCCTGCAGACAAACCCCTGTGACAATCTGAGGTCTGAAAAATCTGGATGCTTAAAGCCAGTGGGGATTTGTGATATTGAATTCATGACTGATACTAGAGTTTTAAAGTGTGTGTTGGAATGGAAATACAGCCACTGAGACTGTCTGAAAAACTGCAAGTACTAAAAGTGCCCAGTTATAGAGGAGAGATAGTGATGGACATAAGAACAAAGTTACTGTGTAAAGATTCAAGATAACCAGTTTGTGAAGGTGAACCTCCTTAAATCACCAAACCCACTGCTGGGACTGCAGGATAGCACCACAACAGCAGGTACCACAGAGCCACAGCGTGGAGACAGGGGTCAGAGGGATGAGCAGGCGCAGGCAGGAAGCTGCAGGTGGCTGGCAGGGAGAGCAGATGAGCATCATTGCCAAACTGACACACACATCAGTAAAAGTCACTGAAAGCAACGTGTCATTTGCTGCCAGTAAAGCAGGAAGGCGACAGGTGAACGTACGAGAAGCGAAGCAGCCGAGACACATATACCTCCCTAAAGGATCCAAAGCAGTGGGAGGTGTTGACGGCATGAAACATTTCTGTTTAAGGACAAAGAATGTAAAAGAACTGCTTCATAAATTATTCTCTGTTCTGGAGGAAGAGTGAATAGACTTGAAGGACAGGTGATGTCTCTGAAATATGCAAATAGAGCTGAGCTGGTCCAAGCAATTACCTTCCCATTGCCTGGAACTTTAGACTAAAAGGAATGACTCACAAGAAAGAACAAGAAACAAAAGATGTGCTAAAAGGTAGAAGATGACAAAGGAATACTGCATCAAGAGGAGAATGGAGACAAGCATGGAAAAAGTATGGTCCTGACCTCCTACTAACAGCTGTTCTTGGGAAACTAGGACATAAACCACAGTCAGACCCATGCCAGCGTGGGAAGACCTAACTGCAAAGCATCCAGAAAGGCAACTGGGATTGTTGGTTCTAGACTTCTGGGTTCAGGATAAACCCAGCAAGGAGATTCCTGCAGCTTCATAAATGTAAAAACAATGGATCTCACCTCAATATCCTTTAGGTTATCTGCTAGCAAACAAAATTGCTGAAAATAAACACAGTATGATCCTTTCTTTTCAGTCAGGTTTTAGACAAAGCTCTGAAAATAAAAGATTAGGCATGACTATCAGACAACCTGCTAGTAGAAAGGGGGAAGAAGAAACTAAAAGACACTGGAAATAGCCGTGGAGATGAGCCAACAGATGTGCCTCTACCATCAAAAGTGGTATTCCGGCTTCACAGAGCAGAGGACAGCTGTGCCACTGCCCCTCCACATTCAGCTGTCCCCTACTGAAGCACAGGTACACCTAACTCCACACAGGAGTGCGAAGCAGCAGGTCAGATTTTGGCTGCTCCTGGTGTTCTCCTTACACTGAACACAAGTTCAGGGTGCCCCTCCTGCATTAGAATGCTTTTACTTTGTATTTCTTCCCATTCAAAACAAGCAAAGATTACTCAATTATAGCAGTTACAGTCTGATGCTAAAAATATACTAATACAGAAACTGCAAGGTCAATATGAAAGAATGAATCAATGAAGAATCAAGAAAAAGAAATTAAGAAGTGGATCTATTTGGACTACATAAGAAGTATTGCATTGAGTTCCTTTCTTTTTATTAAGAAAAATACTGTCAGCCTGAAAGCTGCAGAACAGCAGCAAATCTGCTGGAAAAAAAGTGAACCTATGAGAAAGATGAAGTGTTTCTAAGTTTTAAATTTAGTACTAGAGGATCAAGACATTAAAAACCCTTTGCAAACATGAAACAGGAGACTGAGGAGGATTTAAGATAATGTTAAAAAACAACTGTAAGGGATGAGATGAACTGTTGAAGAGAAAATATGTAGGTAATATTGGGAAAGCTTTACAATAGCAAAATTCATGAAGCTGCACAATGAGAAATTCAACACGCTGGCACTGTAATTACTATTTATGATTCATAATGATCTGAAAGCCAAACTTTTCAAATTTGTACCAAGCACTTTATACTGCTTTTAACCAAATAGGAGTGTTTCATTCATGATCTACTGAACATAAGAAAAATTCAAAGGAACTCAGCAGAAGAGCATGCAAAGGAGACACAATGACAGTGATGAAGCACCTTGTAATGCACTCACAGATCTTTTCTATAAATCCAATTTGAAATTTGAAGACTAAAATAGCGATTTTATCGCTGTCCCCTGACACATGCATCTCCATCATTTTAAAGAACAGAGCTCCCTCTCGTGGCTCCAGAAGGTGGATTGGGTAGAGGGGAAAAAATACAAATTACAGAGCAGCATGAGACAGATCAGAGTGCAAGGACTCCTGATAGCATTTTGGTCTTACAAAAGTGGAATTAAAAGGAAGATGTAGTAGGAAGAACAGGTGATTTCTTTTAAAGAAAGCCATGTCACCCGTACTGTAATGCTAACTTTTAAATTAAATTCTCTGCTAATGTAACTTCCCTGCCAGGCTTTGCTGCTGCTGAGCATATTCCTTCAATGTAAAGCACTCAGATCTCTTATCAGGTTTCTAGCTCAGTCATAAAAGCAAAGCAGGAAAAGCAAAGAGTCAGGACAAGAAATGTGGCACCTGTGCAGCCATGCAGGGACAGGAAACCAGGTAACACCCTATGGATTTTCCTCAGTATTATGCACTGAGACTGCACAGAGGAAAAAATAATTGGCTTCAAAAAGCCAAGAACTATATGTGTGTAATTACACAAGTGAGAGAAGCACATCTATTGAAACTGCAACAAAAGCACCTGAAGAAAGAAAAAAATCACATTTCTTTATCCACATCTTTTTCTGACAGCTCTACCCTGCCATCTTCACTCATCTTCACAGAAACTTCTGTTCCAAGCTCCAGCATTGCTCTCCTCCTGCAAGCCCACACTTCTTGCATCAACTCTTCAAAAAGGGAGGTCGGAACAACGCGTGAATGAGCAAACAGGCTGGTGGAACAGCGTTACCCAGCACAGTCCCGTTTCTGCTGAGTCCTGGGGACAGGCTCATGCAAGGACAGTAATGAGAAGAAACATGCTTGCACACATTCATCCCCCTCCTTAGGGGAAGAGGGGAGGAGCAGTGCTGCAAATCATGCTTTGTTTGCTATATGGCTTTTAAAAAATATATATTTTTAAAAAATAATAGATTATTCTACTTTCCTAGCTGACAGCTTTGTAACCTGAAGGTTGCATCTGTGACAATAAGTATTACTCTGAGGTAAGAAAGTGAGGGGAGCACCCAAAGCTAAGCTTGTCACCATGCAGGAGAAGTCTTTTTATGAACAGAAGCTCTACCCTTAAAAATCCAGGAAAGTGTTTGGTGGTGTGGTGGAGTTTTTTTTCTTCATTGTTTAATGAATATTCATGTTTCACTTCATACTGCTAGACACTTTCTTCATTCAGGATCATACATGGTTTCTTTTAAAATTGTTTTATTTCTGTATGAGAATTTTAGATTGGACAAGAATTTACACAGCATGCTAGCTGTTGCTAACTGCACTGCACAGCACACAAAACTATTTTCCCCAAGGGCATTAAAAAGAGTTTCCTCTGAATGACAGTATTTCTTTGCTGCAAACACAGGATCAACACCATGAAACACAAACTACTGAAGAAAAACCAATTACTTTTAAGTCTCTAGAACAGCATGAGAAGATAAGTGAGACTCAAATTCTTGATTCAGGGGCTTGTGCTCACAAAAGATTTTGCTTCCAAAGCACAGAACCAAAAAAGAATCAATTTCCTACCGTGAAAAGAAATTACTATGCCTTCAGCATTTTGCTGCTAGTAAAATATCTCCATTCTGTCTCCCAATCAAAGGCAATCCTCTTTAAATATTGTATAAAAATCAGTCTATAAACAAGGAGACATCCTTAAATATTCAATCAAGTAATAAAGCTGGTAGATGAAAGACAGATTAATTAAAATGACAGCACAGTCTCCCTATAACACACACATACAGTACTTACAAATACACTGGCTATGTTGGAGTACCTAATCATAATCAGATTTGGTAATTTGCCGCATCGAAACAAAAAGGAAACATTTTTAGAATTGATCATTCAGTTCATGTCACTTTCATGGAGATTACTTTGTATTGATCAACATTTAAATAGTATTTGGAATGAGAACGATGAGAAAAGGATAAAAAGTATCTTTACATGCTAAATACAGCATGAACCAATAAAAGCAAAATAAATTAGATCACTAGAGTCAAACCAACCCTGTGCATGTGCTCACTGTAATGAAGATAATTAGGGAAGAGAGGGTTCTTCATGTTTCAGTCATAACAAAAGGAGAGTTTTTAAAATGAATTTAGACTTTAATCTGCTCAAAATGAAGTTTGCCATGCAGCAATTAACATCTGTGTGAAGCTGAGCCATCGTTGGCTTTACAAGGACACAAATACCGGTTTGTTTTCTGAACAATATTTTCACATCTCCTACCTGTGGATTCCAGCTGGGGTCCAGTTTTTTCACTGTAGCGACATACTCCTGCATAGCTTGATGAGGGCTGGTGTCTCCCAGGGCTTTCCAAGCCTCCCTAGCAGAATGAGCACAACATCAGTGAGTCACTCAGAGACAGCACACTGTGTTTTAACTGTGTTCCACTGATAGCACTGTAAACAGATTTATCTAAATACTTTCAGGGGGTGCAAAGCCATCTTTCATTCAGCTTGAAATGCTCAACTTTTCTCTGAAGCCATCAATGGCCACTGTCAGTGCAGCACTCCAATGTGAAAGGATCTTTCAGGGGATCCTGATCCAGGCTGGAACATAGTTTGTGTTCACAAAGTAAAGCTGTAGCTATTTCCATTTTTTTTTTTGTTGTATGCAGGCTAATTCTGGATGAACAAGGTGAATACAGGACTCTGGTATTTCATGCCTGCATCAAGCAGGGCAGTAAACGTTTCCCTATTCAACAAAGGATTTTAAAGCCAGTTCAGTGGCAGACTTTGAGAGTTGACATCCTCTAGGTCCAGAATCTGGCAACACATGAGACAAGATGCAACAAAAAGTAGAGACAGAATTACAAGGATCTCCTCTTACCATTTCTGCTTTCCCTCAAAATCAAAGAAGCTTGGCTTGGGAGTGTTACAGGTTCCAAATTTCACCTAAAGAAAAGAAATTTCCTTCTGTTAGAACAAAGCAAAGGGAAGGGGACTTGCATAAAGAAAATACTGGATTCTGATGGTTTCAGGGCAATTTCCTTCTAGTACCAGAGGAAAGGTTTTTGAGGGAAAGAACTGACACAACTCAACCCTGGTTTACCCTCATTTTAGCTCTCTTGCAGTTATTAGGACCTCTGCCTCCCTGTGTTTTCTTTGCATGATGCAAGGGAAGCAATTTTGTTATGCAGCTCATTTCTTTTGCACGCATTCCCTAACAGGGATAACCAGCAAGTGATTTCTCACTTAATGTTATGTTTATTACTCAGCCAAATGCCTCAACCTCCACCAGGATCAAGAAAAATTCTGTTGATTAGGGTTTCTACAGAGATGATTATTCATTAAGGCTGAAATTCACCTGCTTCCGCATAAAGCTCAAGCAAACAGACTTAGCTTAATTATTTTCAAGGTCCTCTGGAAGGCAAGGGGACAAACTCAGAGCAAAGGCATGCCAAGCAGCTTCTGAATTTGCTCTGAGGCATCTGGCTGCACAGGAAGCACTGTGTGAGAGAAATGTCAAGGCTTGACTGCTGGAGATGAACCAGTCCATCAGAATCAAGTCAGAAATTAAAATGTGGGGGGAGAAATAAGAAACACAAGGGAGTGAGGGAACAAGCCAGAACTGGTGGATAGATACATGGGGCAAAAAAGAAAATATCTTACAGCTTATGTAAAATGCACTTGGTGCCAGTGGGATTCAGGTAGTTTTCCACAGGGTGGTGTTCTGATGGGACAAGTCCTTCGTCCCATAGCAGGGAAGTCCAGTATCTCCTCTGTGAGCAAGCCCACAAAGGGGAACAGAGAAGCCTGACAGGCTTCACCTGCCTGGGGCTCCAAAGGCACAACCACGTTCCTGCGACGAGGCCAGTGCTGGCAGTTGCCTCAAGAACAGAGCAAAGAGCAGGCTGAGATTTGGGTAACAGAGATATTTTGTTGAAGATGGCTCAGGAGAAAGTATAAGTGAATGTGCCTCTGTCCCTGCCTGGAAGAGCCAGGGAATACGGGTCAGGACCCACCAGATCTGGCTGTTGTCAGTGCCCCTTTCTTGTAGAAAATAAAGCCCTTTTCACACAGGTGTCACTGGTAAAATGAATCTACCTGAAATGAAAATATCATTGTGATAGGGAATGAATTTCAACAAAACATGGGGATTTTTAATACTTTTTAAAATAAAAGTGTTATGTATCACACAGGGATGATGGATGAAAGACTGTAGAAGCCAGAGAACCACAGCTCCAAATGTTACAGCTTCTGGGAAGCAGATATCACAGCAAGTCCCCGTAACACAGCCCAGTGCAGACGGCGTATTTACACAGACCCCAGGGAGGTGCATTCTGGAGGTGGGCAAAGGCTGCTGGCTGAACATTTTGTTAGCCAAGCAAAACTAAACTGCATTCACCGAAGGTTTTATGAAATATGCTCAAGTGTTTGAGCAGGTGAAGTGCTTAAATCAACTAACAATTCTTCACCGTAACAGGGTGGGGATTTTATGCTGAGGATGGAATCATTAATCAGGCTTTAAAGAGAGCATGCCCATGCTGAGAAATATTTATTAGTTACGCTATGTTTTCATTTAAAGTGTTAGAGGATGTGAGTGACTGTAACTGAAATTAATTTTCTGTACATCTGACTGTCTGCCAGTCAGCAATTCATTCAAATTAGAACATCTTAGCTGGCCTTTAAAACAACACAGCACATTTCACAGAGAAATAAGAGAACAGGCTAGCAACAGTCAAGTCCTATAAATCAGTCACAATTCATGTAGTCTAAATGCTTTCTCCTGTGCTTTAGAGGTGGATTGGACCACTTGTTTGAAAAAGCAAAACAAACATGGAAATAAAATGTAAATTCATTATCTGTATGGAAAAAAGCTGCCTGTTTGGCAATTCTTTAGTTCAACATCTAACCTGCAAAAACTGGCCAAGTGGGATAAAAATAAATCTGTTTTAATATTAATTTTCCACTGCCATCATCAAAACACGGCAGCAGTTTCTTCTCTTTAGACTTGGCATTCAAAGGCTGTTCTAGCATTGGGAAAGACCGTTAGTAACATCAATAGTCATACAAATCAAAGAACAGTAGTTAAATTTCATCCATCAAGAGGGGAAAAAAGTGCACTTCTGCCCTGTTTGCTATTTTAAGATATATTAAAAAGGCTTGCAGTGGTTTTGTTGGAAAGAAGAAAAGAAAGGTTTTGGCTTCCCTCTTTTTGCTGCAAGACTCCATAGTACATCAGAAACCAACCAGGAATCTAACGTGAGAGGGGAGCCAAGTCTGATAGATGAGGAAGGGCAGTTTTAGCTAAATATGCCAATGCTGACAAATACTGGAGGGTGAAAGGGTGTTAAAATTTTGTGAAGGACTCTGTCCTCCTGCTACTTCCCTGAAGGGCCTCAAAAGCTGCTTTTCTCCATAACCAGCAGAAAGATAAGAGCCTGTGTTAGTATTTCAAGTCAAGAGTTTCTCATTCTGCATCCACAAAATAATTACTGATGGTCTCCAGGAGGCTGACAGGTCACTGGGTGCTTAGCTCTCCTCATTTACAGTTCATCAGCTGCATTTAAAAAAGACAGCCAAAATGCATTAAATACTTTCCTAGCATTGCTTCTACGTGCAAAGTCGCCTGTATGCATTATACTCATGAACTGTACAATGATGACCCAGGCAGCTTCAAGTGGGAATTCTCCATTTGTGGCCAAAATGGAAATTTAGAAACCTTGGATGAAGTCTTCACCTGAGAGCTGAAGGTCACAACATTCAGAGGAGCACTCCAATAAACAAATACAGGCTCAGAGACATGTTAGCACCATGTACCATCCCCATACAGCTTCAGCTACTGCTCCAGACTGAAGGAAACCTTGTGATTCTCCTTACACATTGCTCCACAACTGATCCCCAACCCACTGGTGGTGGTAAAACATCTCTCTGCTAATTTTTCAACTAATATGTTTATACAGCAGGGAGTTCCAGCCAAATATTCTTACCTGATTGTAAATCTTGTGTGGTGAATCATATTTACAGCCTCCCTACGGAAGAGTAACAAGAACAGAACTCACCTGCATGGACAAGGAAGTTGTAGATGCCCCCTCCCTGGAAGTGTTCAAGGCCAGGCTGGATGAGGCTCTGAGCAACCTGGTCTAGTGGAAGGTGTCCCTGCTGATGGCAGGGGGGTTGGAACTGGATGAGCTTTAAGGTCCCTTCCAATCCAAACCATTCTATGATTCTATGACAGCAGGACTAAGCTCTAACTGTACACAGGTCAAGTAAACTGAATTTCTTTGGCAAGACAGGTATTCCTGCCCAAAGCTCTGCCCCATTAACCTGCCCCAACCATAGGAAAGCCCTCCACTCAGCTGACAAAGTGGGGTGTAAGGAAGGACAAGAAAACATCAGCCACAGCAGGCAAGGGGTCCTGGCCCCAGTGACCAAGCAGCTCCATGACCCCAAGAGACAGAGAGGGACGCTGGTAACACCGAGTCAGTGCCACCACACCACTCCATGCAACAGGAACCCACAGGCAGAAGCTCCCGTGTTCAGGGCAGATTTGTGGCATCACGTTCTACAACATTTGGAAGACGTAATGCAAAAATAGGATTATATTCTTGAGCCTTATACTCAAAGACAGCATAAGCCCCATTTTCCCAACAGCACAGTGTTTCCAGCTTACCTACAGCTCTCAGCATTTACTTAGGCACTGACACAGCCTCCTGGCTGGGTAGGTTTTTTTCCCAGTCCTATCATTTCCAGCAAGTTCTGGATTCCCTCCCTGCTCTGAATGATGATCTTGGTCTCCATGACATTGGTCTCCATTACTACACCTGTTGAACCTCAGTTTTTTGCATCCTCAACACAACAGGCAAGCACTGTCTTCACCACTATAGACTCAAGGCACAGACAAGTGATTTGCCCAAAGCCACGCAGAAAGTAGGGGGAGAAAAAGAAAATCAATCTCAGATCAGAGCTGTACTAACTAGTCTGTTCTTCCTTCTGTTCTGGGGTAGAGTCGTAAACTCAGCAACATCTTCTAAAAACCTCACTGGAGATGACAACTAAGCAATTCCCTTATTTTCAAGTCTCTGACACATAAACAAAATCAGAGAGAAAAGTAATAAAATTCTGAAATGGCCTCCAATAAAAGGTAATAAAATTCCAGGAAAATGCCTATATACCCAAAGAGTTTGAAATAAATAATATACAGTATTTTAACAGAGAGCTCAGCTGTTACTGTCACCTCTTTTATGATGGTGCTGTATCTTAAATCAAAGCCCTTAGTGACATAAAACACTAAACTGAGGAAAGACAAGGATGCCAAATCAAGGACAGTGGACAGATCTGAGTCAGCACCTTTTGTGCACTAGCAATAGTACTGGCCACCGGAGTAATATATTAGCAGCTCATTATGCATACTGGTACAGCTGCTATAATTAAATAGAGAAAACTTGCATTAAGTGCTGTCATTTTGATTTAAAGCACAAAGCACCACAAAACTCAAAGTTAGCAGAGCATAATCCTGCAGTAGCTGTGCTAGCAAACTTCTCCCAGCTCCACGGCCAGTGGTACCCTCCCAGGCAGGCTGTAACAGGGACAGCAGCTGTACTGGGCAGCACTGGGCAGCCCAAATGCTCAGAAACCCAGGAGCCAAGCACAGCCTGAAACCAAGGAGCAGAAAAGGCATCTGCTGTCGCATCCTGCTCAGCCAGGGACAAGAGGGACAGAGGAGAAGAGGACAGAAGTGCTCCTCTGCTCCCCTCAGGTGAAGGCATGTAGAAATTTGTGCTGACAAAATGTTAATTACCTGCTTTTTCATAGAATCATGACTTTTTCTGACTTGTACTGAAACTGTTGTTAAATAGCTTCTGATTTAAGTAATTTTTAACATTAAAAACCTTATTGGTTTTGCAGAGCTAACACCAGGAAACTCTCTGGAGTCTGTTGACAATCACGAGTTGATATGCAGGTAATGCCTTCCCATTTCCACCTCAGACAGTTACAACACATTTGGAACAGAGCAAAAAATAAGAGGTTGTTGGCAACAAATCTCCTGAGAATACAGACAAAAGTTACAGAAGAGAAAAAACCACTCTCTTTTCATCTCATCCTAAGCATCGTCTTGTGATCCTTAAAAGTTCTCCTACTATTTTTTTCTACCCTCCTTTTTCTTAAAAAGGGAAAGAAAAAAAAAATCCGGAAACCTGTTTAAGCACTAGAAAAATCTGAAAACAAAAACCTCACATGACCAGTCTGCTTTAAATACAATTAATGGCCCACAAACCACAGCCTAGGAGCTACCAGCTTAAAGGATAATTAAATATTGCATTAAAAAATGAAAGCAAAAATCAGTGGCAGTAGTAGGACAAGAATATTCCATATGGGAAAAAAATAACGGAGAAGAAGTGCACACCCACCTTTAATCCAAACAAGTAGGATTCAGTTATCAAGTCAAGGCAGCATCTTGTGCCACACACCTGAGTGATATTTGCACCATTACTCTTTAGTATTCCAGGTGTAACAATACTTAAATTTTTCCTGTTTCTCCAGGTTAGGTGATTATTATGGTCCTTTGTATCTCGTTTTTTTGTTTGTTTTACATAACTCTTCCCACAGGAGCAGGAAAAAGTCCCATAGGATGCATCCTACAGCTTGTTCCATTCATAGGGACTGAATGGGAAAAGGAGTCATGTTCAATATGATAACTAGAACCAACCAGTTTAGTTTCCCAGTCCACTCTAAAGCCCACCACAGGCAGATTTGCACAGGCATCTTCTTCATGTGGTGGCATCAAAAGCCCAAAGATTTAATGCTCACATCTGGGTCATCACTGCAGATCCTCGATGGGTCTAATGGGGAGCAGCCGCTGGACACTACAAACCATTCCATCACCTTCTCTAACCTGCCTCAGTCGCCTCGAACCCCAGCACACACATGCAGCCTGGCAAACACAGGCGAGGCAGCTGCATTTACCACTCCAGTCGCTCTGCAA